CAAATTTTCACGTTAGAAATAAAAATTATTTTAGTTTTTGGAAGCCTATCTGCATGACTTAGCGTGAAACTTAGCATGACAGTTCTCAGGCAGCAGTTCAAGAAAACTTTATAAGTGAAAATTTTAAAAAAATTGCAAAAGATTATTAAAAAAATTAAAATAAAAATATATATAAAAATTAAGCAAAACATTTCAATGTGTTGATTATAAGTTAATACTTGAAACAGTTTTAAGTTAAAATGTTATGATAAGCATATTACTTTAAGAATTAATCCTGTTTTAATTCAAGATGGCAGTGCAAAGAATCGTACAAACGTACGACCCATTCGAAAGAACAAATTAAACGAGTTCTTCAAGATAATAATGCAATACAGTATAGGGAAAAAAGGTATCCAGATTTTATTTCATCATAAATTAACGATACCTAGAGAATGTTTTTTTAAACAATAATAAAGAGATTTATTTATTCAAGACATAACTATACGCTATTTTCAGTGGATTACATCGAGGATTATTAAAGTTCTTTTATTTCCTTCTAAAAAGTAAAGTAAGTGTTGTAATGGAGAAAATTTCGTGGTTCATATTTCAACAGAAATATCTATTTCGACTCTTTCCGAATCCATTTGGTGGATGATTTTTTGTGACGTCTGTACGTAAGGCCAGAATAAAGGGCATTTTTTTCCCAAAACGGATTGTAAAATGGATTTTAAATTGATGCAAAAGAGACCTTTTTTGTGATTTCAGTACATACATATGCATGTATATATGTATAAATATTGTATAAATATATCTCGCATAAATCAAAAACGGTTAGCCGTGAAAACTGAAATTTTGTATATGGGATTGCTATAACATTTAGTAGGGCACCTTCCATTTTTCTTCCAATCAGCAGAATCAAGTGTGCAAAATTCTTTGTAATTGGCAATATATTTGGTTTACGTATACGGCAGTATATTTGGCATGTTTGTATATATCGATGTTTCTACCCACCTTCAAATTCCTTACCCAGCCTTAATTTTCGTTAAGTCACTTGCTTCTAGTTACAAAAGTGTTTTAAATGACGAAACTATTCATATTTTTGTAAAGTCAAATTAAAACAGTCTGATGCGGACACCACATGACTTCCTTCTGCGGAATATTAAATTATGTGAATTTTTTGCTGCATTTTATTTAAACTTATTTCCTCGAATTTCATTACAGATAGATTTTTCATTCATTTAACTCAAGTTTCAATTCCCGGCAAGGCAAAAATACGTAAACCTCAAAATATCTTCGTTCAAAATTGAAAGATATAGAAAAACATAAAACACCAAATACAGTTGAGACAATTAAAAAAAATCAAATTTTTACCATTAAAATTAGAGTTTTTAGGCAAAATCAAGCAATTCGGCAAGCATGCAAGGAAGCAGATTTTTCGGTGCACAAAATTAAATGTTTCTTTTTGGTCCTACTCGGAAAAGGACACTGAAGGTGCAGAAACTAAATTCACTATTCTGCTAAGTTTAAAATGTAAACAATATGGCTGCTACAGTAAAAAAAAAAGGGCTCAATTAAACAAATTTTAAATTGTTGAAAATTCTACAACTATTGCATGCAAATTAACTAAAGGCATAAACAACCTTAACCGGAAGATAAGAATAACATAATTCAATCATTTTTAAAGCAAAAAATGCACAATTTATAAACATATAAGAATAAAGAAACTGAGATCACTGAGCCGAATAACAGAGTGGATATATATATATATGTTATATATATATTTATTTATATTTATGTGCTTTTGGTGCGGCCGATTGCAATCAAAATAGTAGGTGCACATCTACATGCTATAGCAGTCCAAAATACAAAATTTCAATGTTCTGAGTCTACTCATTTTTGAGTTATGCAAGGTACATACATACATACTTACGTACGCACAGGCACCACGCAAAATTCTCTTCAGAATTCATTTCAAATCAATAAATTTTTTGGGGAAAAAGAGTCCTTTATGTCCTTACGTACAGATGTCACCCAAAAACATCGTTAAATTGCATTCGATAGAGGTCAAATGTATATTTTCGTTGAAATATAACACCCGAAATTTTTCGCCATTTTAGTTCTTCCTTTTTACATCGTACAAGGAAGTAAAAATGGATTTTCGACAAATATCGAAATCCAATTTTTAAAGTTTTCTACTGGTTCCCATACTTATATCTGGGAAAATTTCACACTTGTTATGAAATAATAAAATTAAAATTTGACTCCATTTCGTCAAAAATTTATCGGCATATCTAATGTCAAAATTTGCAATTTTCGATGTCATTTTCAACTTGCCGTAGGAGATCGGTTAATTAAGTTAAAATAATATGAGGATATAAGTTTAAATAAAGTGTAGCGAAAATGTGCATAATTTTACAGGCTTTATAAGGAAGTCATGTGGTGTCAACCTCAGATGGTTTTTGAATAATTCTGGCATCTGGAAATGGAAATTTATGATTATATTTATGATATTTATGGAAATTTATGATATGATTATAATTAAAAAAGTTCTGAGAAAAAAAGGATAAGAATTTCCTACAAAACATTTTGTTTCCTTCATACGAAGATTTTGAAATTCACTTGTTTTGCTGGATTGAATGTTATAAAAGATCTGATGCGTATACTACACGACTTTCTTTTGCGGAGTATTAAATTTAACGCACTTTTTCCTGCATTTAATTTAAAATTATTGGATTGAATTAAGTCTACTTCGTTGATAGCGCATAAACCACAGTAGAATATTTGCACTATTTAAAATTCACTGTATTTATTTACCCTAGCGGCATTCTGTCGCTAGGTTCACTTAACAGCTTTACATCTCATTCATTTTATAACTCAGAATGCGCAGAAATTATATGATCTGAAGAATTATCTAATCTTTACCACATGTTCTATTCAAATCTATTCAAAATCAAAACAGTATAAATCTAAAACGATGTATAAACGAAATTAAACAAATAAAACAGAATCCTATTTTCACAGACAATTCACCGCCGCTTACCTGATGCGCATGCGCTACTCGTAAACGTCTCCTCTGTCCGAAACAGACTGGCGACTTTATTTAGTGCTAATATGAAGCACTTATTTCCTCGAATTTCATTAGAGATGTATTTCTCATTCAATTAATTCTTTTCTCATTTTGCAACAAGGCAAAAATACATAAAACCTCAAAATATCTTCATTAAAATTGAAAAATATAGAAAAAAAATAAAACACAAAATACAATTAAAACAATAAAAAAAAATTAAAGTTAGAGTTTATACGCAAAACAAGCAATTCTGCCAGTAGGCAATAAGGCAGACTTTTTCGGTGCACAAAAATGAAAGTTTAATTTTGGTCCCACTCGGCATAAAGACACTGAAGGTGCAGAAACTGAATTCACTATTCTGCTAAATGTTAAAAAAGCGAGAAAACATTTTAATTACTTAAATAATGTTTAATTTGTTACCTAATTTAATTAATTAAATTTGGTAACAATTTACACAACATGTTTAAAGCATTTATGTCTAATCAAAATTTTACAAGCCAGTTTCCCTTGGAAAGTCCTCCACGAAGGCATCCCTCGTCTTAGGCAGATAGCGCTCGAGGCTTAGCCGTAATTAAATAACCTAACCTAATCAAAATTTTATTTAAAATAAAAGAGAATTTTTGGAAACTGTTTGAATATTGTGGAGTGGAATTATTTTCTTAACACAAATATCTACCTTTTTTTATATGCGGTTTGTAGAACAAAACTTAAGTTCATAAAATATTCATTATGTTTCATTGTTTATGCTTTTACGTACAAAGCTCGTAGAGATATGCGTTCTTATATTTTCAAACCGTCAGATACAAATTTAATTATCAATGCATTTTTATCTTTTTTTTTAATCACAGATATGCGCAATTTTTGCAATACTAGTTTGTTCCTAAATTTGAGCGTAAAGCCTTTTATTTCTGTTGGTAATAAATATTTATAAATATTCGAAATAGAAGAATTAATTCTAGAATATCTTCACGAATTTCACATTGAAATATTTTCACGTTAAATTCCACCTCTTGCATTTCATTTATCAGAGAATCATTAACTTAGTAAAATTTTTGTTTTGCAGAAATTTTATCAAAAGCTAAATTTTACATTTACAGAACTTTCTAAGGCGCAATTTTTAATTGCTTTCATAAAAATATGTGTCTTACTTTTAAAAATAATTAAAGAGATAAAAAATTAAAATTAATTTTAATTAATAATATTAATTATAATTAATAAATTAGGTCTTTTATGAACAATGAATTAGAGAAGTAGTTAAGAACATAAAGCAAGCAAGTGCTTTTTTCATACACCATGCGTAATACGCCCCAAAGGAAAGGAATGATTAAAACATAGTAGAGAGAGGAATTCGAAGTAGAAATTGTGCTTTTAAGGACTGAAATTTAACTTGTAAGCATTTAATTAAATTCGAAACTGTGCTTGAACAATATGTATTACAATCAAAGTAAAGAAATAAATAACAACTAAATTGTTAAATTCTTTTGATTAGTAAATCTGGTACTTCTCTGCTACTAAAGAAACATTTTATAATTGCTCAATCTGTAGAACTTGGTGATAAACTTCAACCAATGGAAACAGCACGTAAGTACTTTATTTCTAAATGAATTTGATATTCAGGGAAGTAAATTTTGAGATCACACAGGCCGAGATATTTATGAATCCATCTCTTGTTTGGTGGAAAGATAGTATTTTACATGTAAAGTAAAAAAAAATGCTTTTTCGTATATTGCAGTATTTAAACTAAATTCATTCCGCATAATTAAGATAGGATTAGATAGTGTAAGTTCCGAAGTGAATTGAATGGCAAGATCGCTTGAATTATAAACAGATAAAATCTGAATTAAGATTTGTTTGTTTCCTTTAAAGAGAGCCGAAAGATCGTCAATGTAATAAATTAAAAGAAAGTGATGTCAAAATAAAATGAAGATATTTATAAATATTAATTTGTACTTACTAAACAGAAGAACCTTTTGCAGATTTTCCCAAACTGGAGTCCAAGTAGCTTGTGGTAAAGTCTGCAATTCATTTCCAGTAAGTATGACTTCTGTCAAAGAAGGCATGTTAACGAAGAAATCGGATGGTATCATGCCAATTGTGTTGTGACTGAAATGTTAAATTCTTTTTCAATTTTTAATAGGAATAACAGATTCATATTTTATTTTAATTATCATCATGTTATAAAATGTTCATTAACTCCCTCTCGTTTACGAAAGTATAATTCATGAAGACATGTTTCTCATTTATAAAATTATAATTGATGTTGTACTATTTCAGTATTTTTCTAGGATACATGGTAAAATTTAAACTTGATTTTGATTTAACGCTGATGCAAATGGAGTGGATTACTATTTTATTCGAGTCTTTGTAATCAAATTTCAAATCCGTTAATATTTCGTCAAAGTCATATATGCAAAATATATTTTAAGATGGCATACTAATTTACAAATAATAAACGAAACAATACATACAGTTAATCGTTTCGGTAATCAAATATATATACGTATATTAATGGAATACTAAACCTATAATTACCATATTAAAACTAATAGTTAGTGGTTAAAGGCATACACAATATTAAATTTTTAAGGCTAAATTTTTAATGATGCATATTTTATCTAATTTTAATAAAAATTACCTTAAATCCTTAAAGATCTAGAACAATTTATCGCCTAAATCAGCGGTTCTCCACCTTTTGACTAACGCGTACCATTTAAACAAAAATTTAAAACCTTTAATACCACCACTACAAAGTACTACTACCACCACCACTCTTGAACAAAGCTCAGATCGCATAAATTTATGAGTGTTAGAGAAAAAAACTCAATCAGGATGTCGGGGGTTTTAATTTTTGAATTTAGTAGTTAAAAATACTTTGTTTCTTTGCGTACCACCTATTTTTTCTTGCGTACCACCGGTTGAGAACCCCTGGCCTAGATCATTACCTATTCTATGTTGCTTTGTCTAGTTGATTATCTTTTCCTTGATACTCGGTCAATTTTCATTCCTGCAGTTTTCTTTGTCAAGTGATACATGAAATTTAAATATTTTTTCCGGAAGAATATGATTCAGATTTTCTGAAACTTGTAGCTTCATATATAATAAGCTCTACAGAATATTCAAGAAGAAGAAAAAAAATGCTCCGTGTAAATTTTGATAGAGAAAAACTGAAAGTGCTCTGTAGAAAATTTTCTCCCTGCATTTCTCTAAATCAATACGCTTCAAAGTGATAAATATTTTCATCACTCGTATTCTAGCTACAAAATAATTGTGTAATGCCCTTTTGCAATAATTTTGTGATAAACTTCTTGTATTGTATAGAGCAGAAGATACCTTCCAGAAATCTCCCGCGAAAGAATGTCACAGAATATTTGAGAACCTCACATATAGCCATCGTTTTGATTTTTATTCATATTTAAGGAATACTTACAACTTAATACTATGATCAGTTCATAACTGCACATGATAGAATAATTTTTTTATTTTTTGTTATTTACTTATTTTTTGTTTCCTTTAGCGTTACAACATACTTTGCATTTGAGAGACATACAACTTATTCAAGAAAAGAATACTCGAATTTTCTTTAAGAAATGCTCAAAAATTAAAATACAGTGTTGGAAAAAGGGATTAAAAATACTTTACCTTAGATCAATCTTTATCAGGTATGCAGCTGGACATGGGAGCGTTGACCTTTTAAGAGCCTTGATTTGGTTGTTAGCCAAAGATATTATCCTCAGCTGTTTGAGCTGGGAAAATGCATTACTTTCGACTTCGCTAATACCATTTTCGTCTAAGACAAGATTATGAACATTAGGCACCTTTCCATTTAACCACGTGTCTTTGATCTTTGGCAAGCTATTCGATTGAACATTCAACGCTGAGAGCTTGGTAAGGCGCGCCAAAGCGAAGCCATCTTTGCTTGTGATCATAGAATTTTGCATAATGTACAAGGAGGATAAAGAATTTGCCAAAGCTTTGAAAGCCGGCTGTGAGAATTGCCATCTGGATTTTTCAACTTTTAATGATTCGATATGCATTTCATCAAACAAATCATTCGGCAATGTATCAGTGAAATACAAGCCGTGAAAAAGAGCTCTGGTGATACGATGGTTACGTAGAACTTTGAATGCATTCACTAGAGTAGAACTGGAATTGAAATCGGCACACACTACATGCATAATATTTGCCAATGTTTTACAAGAACATGGAAATATTTCTTCTTTAGTAGGGCAGTTTGTCGAAAGGCAAGAAGAAAAGACTAAGAACTGTGTAAAAAGAAAAATTATGGAAATCGACCACATTATTTTCAGATATTTCGCAGGCTTTTGAATCTATCCTCTCTTTTCGAATTTAATGTTTTTTATAATCTGAAAGGTACTGATTTAGTGCTTTATCTACGCGTCATGAATAAGGTGTGTCTGATAACGCTGAAAACGTCGTCACTTTTGCGTCATATCAATTCTATACCATACGTTATCATCCTTGTTAGTTTTAAATGGTTGATAAATTACTTGTCAAAGTTTGGGGAAAAACGAAAGATGTCTGAAGTGACACATATTTTCCAGTTTAAATAAAGAATTGCATGCAGCATCTACAATAACGAACAGTTTGCTAGATAAGAGGTAATTTTTTAATACGATAAATTATTAAACATAGTGCTGATTTCAATAAAGTAAATTGGTAAAACGTCTATGATTAATTATTTCTATCAGCTCTCTCAGGCTTTTCTACTGCTCAACTTGTAATCATGGCCAAATCGAATTACAGAGAACAAGAAAGAAAGTTCAATTCGAAAAGTTTCAGAGGATGAGTGGTCAGACTTTCTTAGATGAAACTAATACTTGTGTATTTTTCCATTTTTATTTTGTAATTTTTTCTTATAGTAACTGATTTGTGTTTTTACTGTTGGCAATAATCACTAACCGCACATATACTTGGAAGTTATTCTGTATGAAAAGCTCATTTATTTGGAGCAAAACATTTGCCTTAGCTTTCTCCTCCGTTTATGTGAAAATTTTGGTTAGCAGCCTATCAATTCTTTTGTAACAAAAATATTAAAATTTATAAATTCTAGGACATAGTCCCTTTTCTTCATGAACACTGAATTAGCAACTGATTCTAAACAGAGTACTTGCATTTTACCAACAAAGAAGCTTTCATATTCTGCAATAAATAAAGTTATAAAGTATTTCTCTCGCCTTCTTAACATGTCTTCGTAGTGTAGTGGTCTGCACCCTGGGCACGTATCCAGAGGTCCGTGGTTCGATTCTCGGCGAAGGCATTGCTTATTTTTCATAACTCCTGCTTTAAAAATTACCTAATGACTGTACAGTGGCGCCCGAACTAAAAGGGTGTTGGATGATGATTCTCCACACCCAGGATTTGGCGATTGGTTCCCCTAAAAACCCCAGTCGCCCTTTAAAAGGGAGAGTATATAAGGTATTTCTCCCACCTTCTTAGCATGCCTTCGTAGTGTAATGGTCCGCACGCTGGGCGCATATCCAGAGGTTTGTGTTTCAATTCCCTGTTAGAGCGTTGTTCATTTTTCATTACTCCTTCTTTAAAGATTACCTAATGACTAAGTGATTTGACAACAGTAATTTTGAATTTCGGACTTCTCTTTATTTAAAATAAAATTTTGGAAATAATTAATAATATCTATCTTACGCATATTAATGCAGTTTTTAAAAATGATTTATGAAATATTGTTTCTTTATCTAATATTAATAAACCCAAAGCTTTCAAGCGATGGTTCGTCTTAATTTAAATAAATGAACTATCAGACTATCTATTGCAATAATTTATGTAATATTCAAGCTTAACAATTTGATTTTAATTTAATAATTCAGGTGAACGGGCTGATTTTTTAAGCCCTTTCGTGGTTTTTCCCATGTATTACATGGATAAGAACATGTTTCTCTCATAAATTAATACATGAAGCCATCCGCATCATTTGTCAGATAGTTCTAGAGTATTTTGCGGTAATGTAATACTTCCAACTCTCTTCTGTTTTGATTTAATGGTCATAGCTTTTATCTGAATCTGTAAATTCCTAAAAGATTTGCTTACTTAATCATAGATATTAATCAGAACCTAAATGTTAAAAGTCTGGAAGCAATAGAAGTCCCTCTTTCCCATGCTCTGTTCTCAGAAATGAAAGGGCTGTTTCCATGGAAGTTTCGTAGATTTCGCATGGATAACATTCATATTAGTCAGTTTCCATTAGAAAGTTCTCAGAAATGGGAATACTTTTTTTGGCTAACAGCACTCTTATACATTAGTTTAGCGAATAAACTTAATCAAACCCTCATAAACTTAAAATATCAGGATCAGATTTAATTTTTTAAATGTCCACGTTGAATATACCATCTTGTACTTCGATTTTTACAAAAGTATAAATTCTAAGAACCTAGATTCTAGTCAGTAAAATTTAACCCATTTTTTTTCTCCTCTTAAAACCTATGTTAACTTACAAAATGAACAGTCGTTTCCTCATGCTTAAAGTTTTTTATAATATGAATGTTTTCAGATTTTTTAGTATATTTTTGTACAATGAATATTTTTTATTATATCGTTTTTTCCTCTTAATCAGAAACAACTTAGTTTTCATTAAAGGGCTCAATATACTACGTCCTTTCTTATTTTCAGGTTACATATGAGAAACTCGAAACTGTTCTGTAGTCTTTTAAATAATTTAAATCTACACATCTTAGTGATCATTAGAAAAGAAGTGATGACCTATTTTAAAATGAGGCAGGCTTACAATATTAAGAGGGTCTTACATGGGTATTCATTACTTAATACTTTTGACAAGTAACTACAATGAACCTAGCTGCAAAAAGGAGTGATAATGGAATAAATGGGCTAAACATTATCTACACATTTTGACAGAAATAAGTTTAATTTGCTTGTTCACTTAGAGAAATAAATAATAACTTATTTATGGATACAAAGGAACGCTTGTTCATAACAAGAATGCCTTAAAGCAGCATAAAGAAAGACAAATAATGAGGTACTGAAACATAAATTATTTTCAAAGTGATAAGCAGAGCACTTCTAACTTTCCTTCTAGATTTTCTCACATTATTTGAAAATATCTGTCGAAAAGATACTTTCATAGGATATTTTGAAATAAGATTTAAAATAAGAATTTGTTTTTATAATGCATAAAATGAATCTAAATAACAGTGCCTTTTTCTGCGTGACAGAAATTCAATCGCTTAATGCCAGAAGAACATGTTCTGACATTTTCTCATTCATTCTTTACAGCTGAAAAGTAAAGAGAAAGTATTTTAAATATTTTGATATGATATTTCCTTTGAATGGAGTTGAGCGTTTATGTGTAAACGCTAGCGTAAATATGAATTATAAGTTCATTAAAATGTGCAGTGGAGTTTAAATTTTCAGACAGGATTATCGTCAAATGCCTTTCTGGCTCTGCTTTAAATTATAAATATGCACGTTCTTTTATTGAAATTCTAAGAATGTTGCAACCAAATAATTTTTTATCTAAGGACAAAATAATTGGTTTAAATTTCCATTTTTTAATGGATAGCAAACTCGTTATTCGAATTCTTAACCTCAATTTATGATTTTTGACGAAATGTCTAAGTATGGTATATTTATTCGCACCTATAATAAAAGCTATAATAAAAACTCAAAATTCCACTTCTGTAAATACCAAATATTTAGTTTTGATTATAAACTGTAAGTAGTGAATGTCATCTCAGTTAAAATTCGTAATATTTGAAGCATAGTTTAATAGCTCAGATATTCACAAACAACTGCAATCCCATGCACAATTTCGCATATATCTTAACCCATAAAATTTAGTTGATATTAAAAGGTATATATTACATTTTTGGATAGGCTCAGCACGAGCATTTTCGGGGCCGCAAGCAATGAGTATATTAGAACTTCATATTAATGAAATATATAAATATTTCACCATTTTAAGATTTTCTTCCATTAAAATGAAATCTACTAAACTTCCTGTAGTAAAGTCTAGTCATCTGTGATCTCAGATGATGCCAGATTTCAAATATCTGGCAAAACGTCTAAGTAATTCAGTTTCGCTTGATTTAAATAGAGCCTTTAATAAATTTTTGTCAATTCCTGCTGCTATGAAATTTCATTCCATTGTAGGAATTGATGTTCGGAATTGTCGGATACTTCGTAGACGTACTCATATTTTAAGATAAATATCTTGAAGATAGTACGCATGGGTATAGTAAAAGATTTCTTTTGCTGTTTTAAGTTATTCTGGAATAATGATTTCCTGTAAGCATTTTATGATCATCCCTTCATCATTAATATAGAAATAATAGCAGCTTATTAAATCCTCGGATTTCGTTTGCATATTTGGATTGTAAATATTTGGAAGCTGCAAATGGTTTTAGTGTTTCACTAATTAGCTATTATCCAATTTATATTACCCCCCCACCCCGAGAAAAATGTGAAGACTGCAGTCTCAATGTGTCGAGTTGTCAGTTCGTTGCTTCACTGAAAAAAGTCGCCATATTTCACTAAAGAAAATGATGAATGTATTTTTTGAAACTGGTTTTCTGGATTTCCTGAAGCTTCGACGGAATAGTCACAATCAAGCACTAATTTCGTTTTCTTCGAATTATAAACGATCTGAACATAGGTTCACGTCTAACATTTCAAGCAAATCACGAATTTGGCTGAAGAGGAGTTTCTAAATGAATCGGTAACCTATCTACATCTTTTGAAGGATTGACTCAAGATTTCTTCCGATTACGTTTAAACCTGCGTCCAGGACTTTTGATTTTAACGACACCGTACAATATTTTACCCTTGTCAAGGCACTGTGGATCAACGCAGAAACTGAATCGACTTCAAAGTGCCAAAACGAAATCAATAGCCTTTCTGAGCTAACGCTTCTTTAAGCTAATAAAAACTACGAAAGATTTATCTATATATTTAAATTACATAAAACCTTATTATCTGACACCTAATATTCATTTTAGTATGCTGATGTTTCAGATATTTTTAAATAAAATAGAAATTTGTTTCTTATTTGAAAACAGTTTACCAATTGTTAATAATCGCAGTAACTGTTTAACTAACATGATGAAAAAGAAGAATAATTAATAATATTTCCATTTCTTATAAAAATTAATAAAATAAAAGCAATTTATTTAAAATTATGCAACAATTAAACATTAGTATTGAGTTAAAATAACAGATTTATTAACATTTTAATGAAATAAAAGTCTTTGGGCTGCTAGATATGTGAAAGCATTAAATAAATTTTCTGAACTAAAGCACATTTACTGTTTATGAGAGTCATTTCGCAAGATTTCTGCGTTGATTTTATAGTTGGATAAATAATGAAAATTTGAATA